TTTAGACAGACGGTCCTCATAGGACTGACCCTTCAGACAGACGGCCCAGAAAAGACTGATACACAGACAGACAGATTGCCATATAGGACTGACGCAGACAGACAGACGGCCCAGAGAGGACTGACACAGACAGACAGATGGCCAGAGAGGACTGACACAGACAGACGGATGGCCAGAGAGGACTGACACAGACAGACAAACGGCCAGAGAGGACTGACAGACAGACGGCCAGAGAGGACTGACACAGACAGACAGATGGCCAGAGAGGACTGACACAGACAGACAGACAGACGGCCCAGAGAGGACTGACACAGACAGACAGACGGCCCAGAGAGGACTGACACAGACAGACAGACGGCCCAGAGAAGACTGAGACACAGACAGACAGATGGCCAGAGAGGACTGACACAGCCCAGAGAGGACTGAGACAGACAGACAGACAGATAGCCCAGAGAAGACTGAGACAGACAGACAGATGGCCCTGAGAAGACTGAGACAAAGACAGACAGATGGCCAGAGAGGACTGACACAGACAGCCCAGAGAGGACTGAGACAGACAGACAGACAGATGGCCCAGAGAAGACTGAGACACAGATGGCCCAGAGAGGACTGACAGACAGACAGGTGGCGCAGAGAAGACTGAGACACAGACAGACAGATGGCCCAGAGAGGACTGACAGCCAGAGAGGCGCCCGCCGGAGGGAGGGAGGCCGTCCCGTGGCTTGTGGAGCTGCCAGAGCTGCTGTGCGAAGCCTGGTTGTTCTGACCTGGAGCAGTGAGGCTCCCACCTGTGGGTCACGCCCTGTGCTGTTGATGGAGGGTTTCCTGGCGGAAGGGGCTAGGAACCTTCTGGAATTCTCACATCCATCGTGGTGAGCGGACGGCTGGCTTCATGTTCTCATGCACAGTGTCCGCATTTGTGAGCGCATGTTCGACATTGATCAGGTCAGCGATCGGGCCAAGAGTCCTGCGGTTTTCCTCCGACCTCAGCAGGAAAGCCCATTCCTGGGAGTTTGCCCCCCGCAGCGTGGGGTGGGGGGCACCTAGTGATGGCTCGGTGTGGGTGGGGCACCTAGTGATGGCTCGGTGTGGGTGGGGCAGTGTCTGGCCGGAAGTCAGCCTGCACGCCTGTGCACGGTGGGGAAGCGGGCCTCCGGCTCTGACGCGGGGTCTATGACGGGGGTTCACTGTGCTGGTTGTGACGTGCGCCTGTGTGTGGGACCCCGATTCCCTCCGCGGTCTCTCCGGCTAAATCAGGCCGTTGACATAAATTACATTTTGGATGAAAGCTCTAAAAATGTACGGTTCTCTGTATTTTTATTCAGAACAAGGTATGATACTGATTTGAAATCTTTCCTTAATGCAAATGTATTCCCTTCAGTTCACACCTGGACGCTTTATTGCCAACCTCTGTTCCCCTGGCGGCTGTCAGTCATGCTGAGCGCACCGAGAGCGCCGTCACAGGGCAGCTCGCACAGCTCCGTGTCCTCGCCACGGGAAGGGTGGACAGAGGGGGCAGCCTGGGACAGCGGTCATGACCCAGGACTCCTCCGGGTCACAGTCGGGGAGCGGCTGCTCAGTGCTGAGCAGGGCCCACGGCCTGGCGGCAGGAATTCACCCAGGTGGGAGGGGCTTCTCCCCAGGGGACCCGCACTGGGTGGGCGCCAGGAGCCGCCATGTGATGAGGTGGCCCCTTGGCAACGTGGAGGTTTGCCCCAAATTTCAAATGTGGCTGCGCTCAGCCCAGCAGTTCTACCTAAGAAAGAGGTGAGTGTCTGAGGGCGCGCACACGTGGACTTCCGTGGCTTATTTCAACTGGAAAGGCTTCCGACAGGAGGCAGGGCCCCGACTCCTGTGGAAGGAAGTCCCAGTGGCCTAATGTGCCTGTCGCTCCACCCACTGGGTGAGGACAGTGTGTTTTCTTTGTGTCTTTGCGCGGAGGGAAGTGTCTGTGTTCACAGATGAGCGAGCTAAACGGATTCGCGTGAAGTACATCTATGCCAGAGGGTGATATCGGTGTCGAGAGCTTGGTGCACCTCCATAGCTTTAAAATTCCCTATTACACTATAACTTTGAAATTTAAAACCATGCTGTTTTAGGGGAAAGAAAGAAACCCAAGCCAGAGATTTTGGAGGATTCTAGCCCAAACCAGTCGCCTGTGGGCCCTGGAGAAGCAGCGCCTCCAGGTTCCCCCGCCCCCCCTACCCCCCAACCCCGTCCTGTCGGGAGCCCGGAGCCCAGGGTGTGGGTGAGCTCTCTGAGGAACGGAGTCCAGCTGGGGATGAGGGGAGTCCTCGCAGGGGGCGCAGGCCCACTCCTGGCCCGTCACCACCACCGCCTCCTGGGACATGGCCTGAAGCTGTCTTCGATCCCTGGCAAACCCGGGGCCTGAGAGAACCGGCCGTCGGCACGGCCCAGCTCCCAGCCGGCTCTGATCTTGCAAGGCCACCTCTGGCCACAGGCATGTCCATCCCAGACGGCGAGGAGCCCTCAGGCAGGCTGGCTGCGCATCCCTCTGCCGCCTTGACAGGCCGTCCTCCGGCGCTGAGACAACAGCCCGACACTCTCCCACCCCCACACTCACTATGGGGGAGCTGCATCGGAGTCTCCAGCAGCGCTTCCCGTAGATGAGTCCTGAGTGACTGATGGTGTGAAGCCTGGTGTCCTCAGGGTCTGGTGACACAGGCGTAGGCAGGAGAGGAACATGTAGGTTATGTAGACCGACCGCTAGGAAATGGCAATGCTTACAGTTTTGAAACGCTTTTTTATAGTAATTTTCAAATAACACAAAATTCTCATGAGTGTGGTGTAGATCCATAGCCACCTAATGTTTCCTCTCTCACAGAGTGACGGGCGGGGAACTGTTTGAGGACATCGTGGCGAGAGAGTACTACAGCGAGGCCGACGCCAGGTGAGTGAGTGCCACTGCACCTCCCGCTCCGCAGCGCCCGTGCGGCCTGGACTCACCTCCATCCGGACTCCGTGAGGACATCCCCTCACTGGTGGTTTTCTCTGCGGGATTTCCAAGACGACTCCCTGGGAAAAAAACCTTCGAGTCTGGTCTAAACTTTATTTTTATCTAGTATCTGTAGTTAGAGTGTGCATTTTGTTTTTATGTTCTTTACTGATTAAGACATTTTATTTTATTTTTTTAAAATATATTTTATTGATTTTTTTACAGAGAGGAAGGGAGAGAGATAGAGAGTTAGAAACATCGATGAGAGAGAAACATCGATCAGCTGCCTCCTGCACATCTCCCACCGGGGATGTGCCCGCAACCCAGGTACATGCCCTTGATCGGAATCGAACCTGGGACCTTTCAGTCCACAGGCCGACGCTCTATCCACTGAGCCAAACCAGTTTCGGCAAGACATTTTATTTTTTAAAGCCTCACTAGAATGGCTTCTGCTAAAGAAATACACTTTTTTAGCAGATGTGAGAGATGGAAGATTGACACCCACTGGTCTCCAGTCCCGGCTCCCAGTGTGCCTAGTCACTTACGACTCTTGGACTTCTGTTACATTTCATTAAAATTAAGTAAAATTAAAAGCTCAGTTCTTGGGTCGCACCGGCCACATCTCAGGGGCCAGGGGCTATGATGGGCAGCAGGTACGAGCACCGGCCTCATGGCCTTGGAGCAGCCCAGAGTCACCCGGAGGCCGGTCCTGGTCAGCTGGGAGCCCTTACAGCCCTGGGACCGCATCTGGAAACACCTGTTCAGGAATTCCAGAGGGTACTGAGGCCTTTCCGATCTCGTCACTGACAGATTTGTACAGAAGTTGAAAGTGGCTCCCATTTTGTCTCACTTGAAAGTGCCAGGCTGCCCAGAGGTGACGCCGTGAGCAGCAGCTGCTTGCTTAGGCCGGTGGATCACAGGCCCCTCGCCCGGCACCCTGGGCGTGGCCGCAGCTGGCACTCCCGCCAGCAGCCCGGCCAGGAGGGTGGGTGCCCTATGAGCGTGTGAACGCCGCCTGTGCCGTCGGGCTGGGCCGGCCTCAGTGGCCCGTCTCCTGAGCAGCGGGCTGCGCAGCTCCCTGGTCCCTGCGCACGCCTGCACCTTAGCACCACTGCTCATGGCTTTCTGTGGGCTCACCTGGCATGGCTGGCTCTGCTTTTTCACGGGGTTTCCACTGCCAGAGTCAGCGGGAAAGCTCCGTGTCATGTCTGCCCTGCTGAGTGACTTGCTAGCGGCTCCCGGACCCACACCCTGTGCGAGGCCCCTGCGGCTCCTGCGCAGCCGGGAGAACCTGCGCTGGGGAGGGCGGGGCTCAGGGTGGCCAGCAAGCTGGGGGCTCACTCGAGTGCTCACATGCTAGGTGAGCAGCCAATGTACGATCAAAAACTGCCGGTGAAGTTAAATAAAGATTGTGTCACCATCGAAGGGCCCAGGGTGACGGCAGCCCCGTGGCGGGTCACCGTGCGCGTGCTCCCTGGCGTTGGAGCTCACGGACACGTTCAGGGGAGCCCCACACACACAGGAGGCAACACTCTCTTCTGAGCCACGAGCGTCAGTCGTTCTACAAACCGTTTGCAGGCGTTGGCTGGTCAGGAAGCTCGGGTCCCGCCTGCTCCCCAGGGAACACGGCGAAGGCCTGCGGTGTGGGTGCTGTCTCCTTCCTTCCTCCTGTGACTCCTCAGGCTGGAACCTGTCCCGTAGTTTGAGAAGAGAAAGTGAATTTCCCAGGAAGCAGTGTAAAGGGAGCGTTATATAGAAGGAAACAAGCCCCAGGATTCGGGAAGCTCTGCCAGCCCTCAGACGAGCCCTGGTGCTGGTGGCCGCCTGAGGGCCCGGGGTCTCTGCAGCACCCAGCCCTGACCGCGTGTCGCACTGCCCTGGGTACACCAGGCGGTCGCTGTCCACCGGCTCCCCATGGCGCGCTGCTCCGTACCCTGGTGGTGGAGCGCGTCCTCACTGAGCGCTCGCTTCCTCTGGCCGTGGTGTGGGCCTGAGCTCGGACGCTGCTGGGTGGTGGCCCACGTCACTGTCCGGTGACAGGGATGGAGAGCCGCAGTGGGGGTCCCTCTACCTGAACGGCGTTGGCCAGCAGGGAGCAGGGCCCGAGAGGGGGCACGGCTGGTGCATCTCCGGAGGGGACAGCAAACCGGTGTGGAAACGCCTTTAACATCCCCTGCTCCAGGGGCTCCCGCTGTACCGTTCGCCCCTCAGCTCCTAGCCCTTCCCCAGAAGCGGACCGACTGCCACGGGGTCCACGTTGTGGGCGGACTTTCAGTTCTTCTCCTGGGGACCCCGTTAGTGTTCCTCCGACATGTCGCGCCGGAGCAGCGCTGCCGAGTCAGACGGTAGCTGTGCCTCAGGTCCGACCCTCTCACCTGCTACTTCCCCTGCTTCCCCGGTGCCGTGGTGACCAGGCGGGCACAGGTCAGGTGTGCGAGAGACCCCCACACGCTTGGTCCCTGAAGAGTTTCCCGGGACACGATGGGAGCGGGTACACGTTCTCCTCCCGGAAACCTTCCCTTCTGGGTAGCGTGATCACATTTGCCGCGGGGACAAACGAAGCAGCTCAAGTGGTTTTGCCTGAACGTGCCACAGAGTCCGTGCTGGGACCAGAATCACCAGTACCTTTACTCGGCAGCGTTCAGTTCCCGTGGAAGGTTGGGAATTGGGAGAGAGTGTGATTGTGTGTGTGCTGGGACTGCACTGCCACCGGCACCCGGTCCCCAGCCCCCTCTGCCTTGTGTCTCCGCAGTCACTGCATCCAGCAGATCCTGGAGAGCGTGAGCCACTGCCACCTCAACGGCATCGTGCACAGGGACCTGAAGGTCAGTGCAGCCCACGTCTGGTTGAAGGAGCGTGTGATGTTTCCGTGGAAGAGCCACGGGCAGGCACTTAACCTGGTTCCCTCATTGCTCCCAGCTTTCCACCCACACTGACCGTTGTTAGTGATGCTCTGTCCTCCCAGCTGCTTGTCACAGTGACCGGCCTCACAGCCACGGGGCACCAGGGCATCGCAGCGACAGTGCAGGACGTGCCTGCTCTGGTTCAGGCAGTACACCGGGGCGGGGCCGCACCAGGGGAGGATTTTCACCAGGGGGCGGGGCCGCACCAGGGGAGGCTTTTCACCAGCGGGCGGGGCCGCACCAGGGGAGGCTTTTCACCAGGGGGCGGGGCCGCACCAGGGGAGGCTTTTCACCAGGGGGCGGGGCCGCACCAGGGGAGGCTTTTCACCAGGGGCGGGGCTGCACCAGGGAGTGCTTTTCCTAACCCAGCGCTTGCCTGGAGGCGGAGGCCTGTGACGTGTGCCATCCTCGGACTGCACACCACCTCTGTCCTGAGCCCCAGAGGCCGTGGTGGGGAAGCTGGCGGCACGTGGCTCCCCCAGGCCCTCAGCCCTCGGGGGAGGGGTCCCCGGGCAGGCAGGGCAGGCTTCTTCAGAACACATCGGTGTCCGAGAGTCACCCCATGTGCCCTGTGTCCACACGGGACTAGGAAATGGGAAGAATGGGGAACCACTTGGGGGGGCACACGACAGCTGGAAGATTTTGTTTGTGTTCTAACCTAATTCCTGGATTAAAGGAAGCATCTTTAAGGTGGTTCTTCTAGAACATGCGGGCCCCCCCGTTGGGCACATGTCTGGCAGGACCCTGCTTGTCCGAGGCAGTGGCACTGTGCCGGAGCAACGTGTCTGTGCATCCGGGAAGGTGGCACGCCGGCTGTCTGCCAGGCAGGGCCGGCTCCTGAGTGTGTGGGGACCGCGCTGCCCCTGCTGTTGGCGCACAGTCACTGCACTCAGGCCGCTTGGGCCAGGGGGCACGAAGGGGTGTGGTGCCCGGACTGTTGACTACAGTGCCGTCTGCGACAGATCCATTGGAGAGCGTGGGCTCATTCGCACTCGGGACGAAACACGGTCCTCGCCCGCTGAGACTTCGGTTCCGTGTCTCCAGTGGCGGCGAGCAGCACGATGGCTCCCTCGTTCTGAACTCGTCTGCGGACAAGGGTCAGACCCCGCAGCCAGGCCATGGGGCCCCTATAGCGAGTGGGCGGTTCCCCAGGTTCCAGAGCCGCAGGCAGAGTCACTGGTAGGTTGTGGCCCGTGAGGGACGCCAGCCCAGGAAGGCGGAGGACGCCAGGCGTCCTGGTTCCTTCGTACGTGCCTCCCGGGGACCCGGCAGGCCCTTCCAGTAGGTGAAGGTCACACAGATGTGCTGACCAAGCAGGGTGGACGGAGCACACGCACATCCGGACACTCTAGGACGCCACTCAGCCCCTCGTGCCACGGACGACGAGGAACGTGGATTCGGGACGTGAGCGAAGGAGAGGCCTTGGCTTCCCGCCTGTGCCTGTGCCGTTCAGAGGAGGCGGCCGAGAAACGGAAATGAAGGGAGACGTGGGCAGGAGCATCTGCGTGTGAGCGCCGTGTGGGCAGCAGGTCTTCGTTTGAGACCTCGGCCTGGCCAGGCGTTGGCAGCGGGGCAGCGGCTCGAGCGGCTGTGTGTCCGGTGGGCCCCTGGGGTTTCTCATGGGCAGACCTCTCTAGTGTGTGTCTGGAAGAATACGTCTCTAAAGATCCACAGCGCGTTACTTGAGGGTGAGATTTGTAAGCAAAACGTTGCCTTCGTTTCCGGAATCTTCCTTTCACCTCAGTTTGCATCTGAGAGCATTCAGTGTCGAAAGCACAGGCGTGGTCAGTGGTGTTTCCTTCGGACGGCGCTCGGACTGCGCGTCCGCTAGCCCTTCGCAGGTCCCCTCCCCGTCGGGATAAGGGGGCAGCACGTTCCTTTGAAGATTCATTTTTCTGGTGCTTATTCCTTCCACACCGTGCGCAGACAGAGCCCTTCCGTTCCTTGTCAGAACTCAGAGCTGCTGATTGCCAAGCAGACCTACAGGACGGGCACGTTTTTATGCGATGGGGTCGGCCGCTCTGTGTGACAAACGGACCATTTGAAATCTTCCTCCGTGTGTGGAAAGCCGAGGGCCAAGGATGGGAGTGTCGCTTCTCTCCCAGGACCTTCGTCCTGCATTTTCTGGGTCGTGACGTGGATGTGTGTCCGTGTCCAAGCTCAGCTGAGCCCTTTGCGGGCGGGAGCGTGCATCGGCGCTGGCGGCGGGCCCGCATGTGAGCTGTGCGCTAAGCTGCTCTCTGACCTGCGAGCTGAAGTCGCTGATTAGAAACTCAGGCCGGGACCTCGGGAAGGCGTGCTGCCGCACGGGGCCGCTTCCCGCCAGGCGGTGAGGTGCAGCATCGCCCGCGCGGCTCTTCTGGGGGAGTGTCTGCTCCGTCCTCCTCTGCCGTTAGAGGACGGGGTGAGCTTCGGGGAGCTCACTCCTGCTTCTGCCAGACTGCTCCCCTGTAGGCCCACTCGGCCCCGGTCCCCGCGTGTTCCTGGACTTGCCACAGCCCTGGCCACTGCTTGTCCTGGCGTCTCGCCCGCACCTGAGAAGGGGAAGGGGGCAGCTGGGTTCCTCCTACCTGGCTCTACACCGAACGTTGCCCTGACTATTCTCAGGCCCTGGTTCCTGTGCTCGTTCAGGGACCATGCCTACGTGTGAGCACAGCTCGGTCATCCACGTCCGTTAGAAGCCCGAGTGTTGCTGTCCATCATCAGAGGCCCAGCTGGGCGTGAGTGGGGTGCGGGGAGCACTGCTGCGGCTCAGGGGGCTGCAGGGTGTGGTGCAGAGCTGAGGGGTGGCAGGAGCCTTCCGTCTAGGAAAGGCAGTGCCAGCACAAGCAGC